CGCTGCAGCGCATTTTGGCTCTCTTGCGAGGTCAAGAGCTTACAGAGCAAGTGAGAAAACGAATCATCATGTTTGAGGAGTGTTAGGGTCCCATCGGCCAATGAGCCGTCCTGCAGTGCTGCGTCCTATCTCATCTTGAAGCCCGTGCTGTGCGGCGCATTCCGCCTTACAAACTGAGTTATAACTCCAAGTTCTCACTCCGCCTGGGCAACTTTTTACTTAAAATTGAATTTTTTTAATTGCAGGCCGTAAATAGAAATGAATGCTATTTCTTGAGCCCCAGTGCAAGACGAATTTCTTTTATTCGCGGAACAAACCAAATCTCCGAAATAGCTAGAAGGGAGGCAGCCAGGTTGGGTCCATTGCAGCGAGGTTGTTGGGATCAGTTGCGGCCTCCAGCAGCTGGCATACTTTCTTGTTGACATCCTCAGCCTGTTGTTGTTGCTTTGGCCAAAGTAAGAGTAGAGCGTCAGGGCATGACAAGAGAGGGTTGGCTACCTTGTCGCCGTGGGCAAAGAAGCCGAGGTGGACCAGCCGTTGCATCAGCATCACAACGTTGGCTGCGGCGGTGTCCTTGGAGAATTTCCCCGCCAGCTCATCCCGCATGTAGAGCAGCAGAAATCCTCGCAGGTGCTCCTGGGCCTGGTTGCGGACAAGTCAGCTGGACGAGACAGGAGGAAGGAGAGCGGGCGAGTAATGAATCATGCCTGGGGTTGGGCAAGGCAGCGCGCTAGGGCGGTCATTGCAGCGTTCAGTGGCCCTTCCGTCCACAGTGGGTTGCAGAAGGCTTGGAGGTTGCGGGTGAGCCGAAACGGTACAGCGTCGCACCACTCGAGTTGTCCGCTCGCCTTGTTGAACTCTATTACCAACCAACCAACCAACCGACCATCCACCCACCACCAAAAAGCGGCCAAGTGTTGAGCTGCAGCCAGGGTAACGTAATTACGAGCAAGAGCGAAAGCGAGAGGTACCCGGGGTAAAAGCCAGGTGGAGGATGTTTGCAGTCGATCGGGAGAAGTAGATGTTGCTCGGGGCGCGATGAGATACCGCCATGGCGTGGCCAAGGAAGGAGGTGAGAGCCAGCTGCGTCACAAATTGGCGCTTAAACATGAACAACTGCGTGGCCGCTCCGAAGCTACGGTGGATTGCCTGCGTGCGATAAGACAACCGAGCAGCCACATACGAAGGAGGACTAGGGTCAGCAGCAACACACTGGAAGAGGAAGAGGAAGAGGAGGTGATAGTAAGATGAAATTGTGTGGGTCATCATGACTCCTTTCGAACCTGACTGAAGGCGGTGGCTGGCACAACGGTACGACAAGCCTCGTGGTAGGCTACACTAAGGCTCTGTTGAGGCTCCGTGGCTGAAGGCACAGCCTCAACCAACCGGTTCTTGTACACACGGAAGAGATCGTCGGGATCAACTCCACGCCGGCGGCAGTCTCCCTACCACCAGCCACCACCAGCCACCACCAGCCACCAGCCACATGGTGATGTTTGCGGGTGGGACGGAGCGCAGGAGAGAGAGAGAGAAGTGACCCGAGTCAAGACGGGGGCTGAGTGTGGTCGTGGTGTGTAAGTGTACGTACCTGGTATATCTGAGCAAGGGAGCCGAGGTCTGCTTCGGCCTGTACCAGCCGCACAGCAGGCGAGAGAGCGATCATCGGCGGCAGGAAGAAATTGAGCTGTCGCTTGCGTGTCTGCACGTTCTTCTGTAGCATGCCGTTGACGAGGCGCAGGAACTGGCCCATCCGGTTGTCGGCACCGTTGTCGTTGCCAGCGGAGATGTCCGAGAGCGTGGCGAGGAAGGAAGGCTGGGCCAGGAGGTGGAAGGGGTAGGTCTTCCCATTGCTGCCCCGCAGCACCAGGCAACGCTGCGACAGCTTGCCCCCGTGGGACACCAGCACCTCGGCCTCGAATCCGTCGATGCGTACGTGGTGGTCGATCCCCGGCTCCCCGAAGCTCACGTACTGACCGGGCACCTAGTATAATCGATGTGTCGTGTGTGTGTCGTGTGTGTCGCGTGTGTGTGTGTGTGTGTGTGTGTGTGTGTGTGTGTGTGTGTGTGTGTGTCGTGTGTATCAACCCCCCACCCACAAACACAACCACGCAACCGCAACAAGCCCGTCCCAGCAGCCAACACGTGGTGCACCGGCAGCGAAAGCAGATGAGCGGCCAAAGGACTAAGAAGAGGGCATAAATCACACTTGACACGTGCGAGGCAGGGCGAGGTGTACCTCAATGGTGTTGGACTTGAAGCCCACAAGATAGCGACTCAGTTCTTCGAGGTTGAGTGACGGCGGTAAGCCTTCGACTTCGTCCGACACCCGCCGGAGCCACTCCTTCACCTTGGCCTGCGCTTGGTCGTTGGTGAGGCAGCACCTGCCGTTGGTGAAGCAGAAATCCTGCGGATGTCACCCACGCCGAGGCATTGTTTTGATGATGATGATGATGATGATGATGGAGTTGTCCAATGATCAGCAATCATTGTACGACAAGTAAGTAGGCGGCGGAGGAAAGGCAGAGGCAGGGGGGAACCTGGGTCATTTGCACTTTCTTGGCGGCGAGCTTTTCCTTCTCGGGTTCTTTCATGTCGGGCCGAGGTTCGAAGGCCGTGTCTCGAATGGAGCAGAGTTTGGCCATCACGGCGTCGGGCAGCCCCTCCGCGATGCAGTTGGCGTAGCGGTTGCACTCGTCCCACACCTCTTGCCAGACCTTTGGGGGGGGGGGTGGCAGCGATCGTTGTCAGTCCGCGTGCATACGTGCGTGCGTGCACTCCAGAGTCAAGCTCAAGCGCCGGCGGCACAAATAGGAAGATAGGAATATTTCTATCTAGCTATCTATCTAGCTATCCCTCTATCTATCCCACCCCCCAATCATGACCACGCCTGGTGGTCATGATTGGAGGTGGGATGGATGGACCATTGGGGATGTGAAGGGGTGGGTGGGTGGGGCTTGGGGGGGGGGCAAGTACCTGGAGGAGGCGTTCCTCGGTGGAGATGGTCACGCACTTGGTGATCTCCTTGACCATCTCCTCCATCTTGGCGACCACCGCCGGGAAGGAATTCTTCATGATGCTCATCACCTCCTCGCCAAAGAGCAGGCCTTGCCGCTTCTTCTTGTCATCGGCCTGCGCGGACGTCCCAGGGTCGCCCTCCTCCTTCACGGGCGGCGGCGGCGGTTGCTCCTGCAGTGCCACCGGCGGCGCCTGTTGTTGTTCACTGCTGCCGGTAGAGTGGACGGCGGCGGCGGCGGCTTCGAGTAGTTGTGTCTTCTTGCGGGAGCGAGAGTAGGCCAGGAGGCGCTGCTCGAAGATGAAGTTGCGGAGCGGGTAGTAGACGGCCTGCGGGTAGAGCGAAGCGAGCTTGGCCAGCACGCCCTTGAGCTGGACACCCTCGGGACGCGAGAGGGCGGCGAGGAGCTGGGGAAGCCACGGGATCCACACCCACATGGGCACGTTCTCCGAAAAGGTATCGAAGGTGCCCGCCAGCTGCTTCTCCCACGTCTCCGGTTCCGCCACAGCGGTCCCCGCCCCCGCCGGTTCCTCCGCTGCTGCAGCAGCAGCAGCAGGAGCTGCTCCGGAGGCCGAGCTGCTCGTACTAGCAGCAGCAGCAGCAGCAGCAGCAGCAGGCGACGAAGGCTCCTGCCACTGCTGCTGCTGCTGGCCACCAGCAGGCTGAGGCGGCTGGTCGGTGTCGTCGGGCTGCTGGTCGTGCTGGTCGCAGAGGAGGAGGAGCACGCGAGGCACCAGCGACTCAGAGAGAGCGGGTTGGGCGCGCATGGCTTGCAGGAAGCAGATGAGCGCGAATTCCACCCACGAATGCGGCTGGCGAGGAACGGAAGAAGCGTCTTTGCTGCCGGCGGCGGCCGTCTCGGCCTGCGGCTGGGGCTGCTGCTGGTGGCCCCGGAGGAGCGGAGGAGAAGCCGACCCGGCGGCGTGCATGGCCTCGCAGAACGAGCCCCACCCGGCCCAGCCTCGCCCCAGTCCGTCCCACGTGGAGACCGCAGTCGAGTAGGCCCCATTGGCGTCCTCCCCGAAGCCCAGCTTCGCCAGGAACTCGGCCTTGAGGTAGAAGAACTCGGCCTTTTGCTGTTTGTCGTGTCGTGTCGTGTGTGAGTCCCAGTCGGTTGGATAGGTATGTACGTAGGAGGTAATCAAGACAGGAGCAGCGAGACAGCGCGTGATAGAAGGGTGGTGGAGCCAGGCGACGAGCAACGTTGAGAACGATCGTCCGTACCTGGGGTCCGAAGAAGTCGAGGTTGGTGGAGTTGATGATATCGAGAGCCGTACGGTAGAAGTTGGCGGCAGCACCGGGGGAATTTGACTGGGCGGCGAGGCGCCTGTAACACTTGACCTGCTCGCGGAGCTTCACAAAGGCGTCGTGGATCTCGATGTTGGGGAGGGAGTAGATGCGAGACAGCCACGACAAGCACACGTCTACCAGGTCGTGCCTCCTCGCCACATGGCCAAACCTGAATTGAGGGTGTGTCATGTGTGTGTCGTGTGTGTGTTGTGTGTATGCGCGTGTGTGTGTGTGTGAGAAAGAGAGAGAGAGAGAGAGAGAGAGAGAATGAAGAACGCAGCCCGATCTCCTTCGGATCTGCACCTAGGCCAGCCGGCGGCAGGAGGGAGGGAGGGGGGCAGGGGTGCACCTGTTGATGGTCCAGGCTGCTTCGTGGTGCCCGATGTAGGCCACCGAGGAGTTGACCTCGAGGAGCGGCTGGAAGGCACCGTTGATGAGAGTAAACACGTGCTGCCGCCACGTCAGGATGTCGGTCCACACCCCCACATCCTCCCACTCGTTGGGCAGCCGCTCGCGCCACGTCGTGAGAATGTTTTTGATCTCCGGAATGGCCTGTGAGTGGATGAGTGAGTTTGAGCCCCCCCCCCCAATACGCATTGCCGCCCTGGGGTCAGATGACTCTCGCACAAACGCCTTACATGCGCGCAGTAGGGCGTAGGCGGGGGCGGGGGCGCGACCTGATGGCGGTTGGTGCCGTTGATCTCTTTGATGATCTGAGCAGACTCGCGGAGCTCAACGAGCTGGTGGAAGGCCTGCAGGAGTGGGGTGTGCGCAGGGGACGGGATGGGGGGCAGCGAGTGCCAGTGCAGCAGCCCGAGATGGGAAGCCTGCACTGTGAGGGCGTCCACGTCGCCCGGCTTCCCGTCCTGCACCGCCACGTAGCTCTGATACACCCTATATATAGATAGATAGATAGATAGATGGGGACACACAGCAGGCAGACAGACAGACAAACAGACAGACAGGTAGGTAGGCAGACAGGTTGGCAGGTAGGGTGCACGCGCGCAGGGTACCACCGCGCCACCACAAACAAGCCCCGCCACAGCAGGCAGCACAACCCTGGTGCACGGCGCAGCGCGTGAGCGGGGGGTGGAGGTAGTACTTGAGTTGTGGCGTGTCTGAAGCTGCTCCGGCATAGCGAGCCAGAGCGTCGCGCATGGAGTTCCAATCGCCAATCTTCCACGCACAGTCGAGCACCAGTTCTGTTGCGTTTTGGCCCTTGGCGAATTCCGTGAGCAGGTCCCACTGCAGTTGATCGACGAGAAAGAGCAGGGGTGTCATCATCATCGTCGTCGTCACCACCATCATCGCCACGAGAATCCCATGAGCGAGCACGCCAAGATATAGGTCTCCAGGAGCTCTCCTTCCGCTCTCGTCATTCACGCGAAGAGGAGTAGCTATTGAAGATGGTATGGTATGCTCATTTAGGGGGGAGGGGGGATGGATCTCGACAACGCACCTGTTGGAGTCGCTTGGCACAGTTGATCCAATGCTCTTCGAGGAGGCCCATTTCCCAGGCGGGATCCCTCTCTGGTGGCTTGAGGAGCCCTGTCTGTGCTCGCGTCATCCCGTGGTAGTATAGGTCCTGTGACTCGAGTGGGTAAGCGAGCGTGTGTGTATGTGTTGTTGTGTGTGTTGTTGTTGTGTGTGCGTGTATGTGTGTATGTGTGTGTATGTGTGTTGGTGTGTTGTGTGTGTGTGTGTGTCGTGTGTGTGTGTGTGTTACGGACACGCCCGTATGCGGCGCAGCCTCAAGTGATCGCCCTCCCGTGGTGGCGGTGGTGGCGGCGGCGGCGGTGGTACCTGTGCCCTTTGCCACAGTCCGTGTTGCTCCAGATGTAGAGCGCTCCTCGTGATAGGGAGGGTGCATCGCCGCTGCCAGAGTCCGTAGGCCAGGTCCTCTTCGCCGAGCAGCTGATAGAGCTCGCCCAGTCCATCGACGGCCCTTTCCCACAAGTCCTCGCCCTCGTGCTGCTGCTGCTGCTGCCCGTCAGTCCGGTCCGGTAGCGTCCCCCCCCACAAAGCCACCCAACCACCAAAACGAGGTCAGACCGCAGCGCAACCCACTGCCGCCCCCTTCCCCTCCCAGCACCTCATGATATCTCTATATCTCTATATCTCTATATCTCATGACCGTTTGACTGAACCGGAAAGGGCGGCCGTACCGATACTTGCTGCTGGGCTGGCGGGAAGGGGGTAGCGGCGGAAGTGACAGAGGAGGAGGAGGAGGAAGCGGGCGGGGGAAGCGAGGCGAGGGGCTCGAGGAAAGCGGAAGCCGTGTGCCAGGCATTGTAGGTCTTGCCCACGTACTTGACCAGCTCTCCGGGCAGGACAGGCGGCTGGAGAGAGAACGAGAGAGAGAGAGAGAGAGAGAGCAGCACACGTACGCGTGAGAGGGAAAGAAGAAGAAGAGGAAGAGGAAGGGGGCGGGCGGAAGTTTTGGTCTCGCGCGCCACACTGCGAGGTACGCATGGAAAATGGAAAATGGAAAATGGAAAGAGGCGTGGGAGGGTACCGGGTTGCACCGGGAGAGAGAATGGAGGAGGGCCTGCATGACGTTGGGCTGGATAAAGCGCTGCACGCTGTGGTAGTCCTTGCCCAGCAGCTGCACGCACCCCTTGTTGACGCTCTCCCGCTCCTCGTCCGAGAGCCGGGTCCACGCGCACGGAAACAACGACGCCCACAGGTGGTACGCCACGTCCGAGTCCTTGTATACCAGCTGCCCAGCGGACACACACGCACGCACGCACACACACACCATTATTATGGGTCAAATGAACTGAGCAGCAATCCCACGTCCGTGGTGGAGATATACACTCTCAATGTAATGTGTGGTGGGGAGGGGGATGAGCAATGGATGTGCGGCAGGCACGTACCTGCTGCAGCGGAGTAATGAGGTCCTTGGCACAGAGACGGTTGACCTTGGCGAGGAACTCCCGGTGCCGCTGCAACGTATCCTGCACCTCCATCTTCCGGTTTGCGTAGGTGTGTGAGAGCAGGAATAATAATAATAATAATATAATAATAGGTACCGCTTCTTCGCAGGAGCGAGCGCGTGTGGCGTAAGCGCCCAGCGCAGGCAGCTGCGCCGCTTGAGAGCTGAGCGTGAGGGGAGCTTCCGGCCTAACCACCCAGCCGCCACCATAGATGTGCACCACCAGCCACCAGCCACCAGCCACCACCAGCCACCACCAGCCACCACCAGCCACCACCAGCCACCACCAGCCACCACCAGCCACCACCACCATCACCCACCGGCCACCATCACCCACCGGCCACCACCATCGCCCACCAGCCACCACCATCGCCCACCGGCCACCACCACCACCAGCACGTCATCGGGACATCGGACGTGGTCAGGCAGAGGCACACGGGCAAGAAAGGTGGTGGCTGGTGGCTGGTGGGTACCGGATAGCACCGAGAAGGAGCTCACCGGCGTGGCGGATCCAGAAGGTGTCGGCCAGGGGCTCCCACGACTGGCCAGCCACGATGTGGCGCAGCCTCTCGCCCACCAGGTGAGCCACGCGGGAGTGGTAGAGCGAGAGGAATTTGTTCCTTATGTCGGCGTCCTTGGCGCGCAGGCCCATCAGGAAGGCCGGCTCCAGCTGACTCAGCTCTTCAGCGGAGGCGGTTCCGTCCAGATACACCTGAGGGGGGGGGAGGAGGAGGAGGAGGAGGAGGAGCAATAATGGAATGAGCACACATCGCACCACGAGTGCACCACGCCCACCCACCCGTCCAAGCAGCCGATGTTTGTTAGGCAGGCGAGCGCGCGGGAGGTTATGGGGCGGCGGCGGGGGAGGAACGGACCTGCAGGACGAGGTCGAGGAAGGCTGCCTGGAGCGGGGCATCGGCGATCTTGTCGAAGCGAGTCATGCGCAGGAGGAAGTTGCACTTCTCCTTGAGGGTGAGAGTCGGGGTGGTGGCGGTGGCGGTGGCGGTAACCGCGGCAGCAGCCCGGTGAGGGCCGGATGGTTCGTCTTCCAGGAGCATGAGGTCTTCTTCGTGGGTGGGGCGGACGTCGTGGTGGTGGTCGTCGGAATCATCATCGAAGGGCATGATGGCCATGTCAGCGAGGGCCAGGCGTGACATGTCGGCGGCGTCCCGCTCCTTGCCCGCCGTTGCCTCGTGCGCCGGTCCACTTTTGATCCAGTGAGCCACCATCCGTGTGATCGCGCGCAGCAGCTGGACGTCTTGCGATTTTTCGATCAGCGCGTACAGCGTGCCGAAGAAGCCCTTCTTGTCCCCCGCTGGCACCTACACGCCACACATCCGCCACACATCCCCCACCCGTGGGTAAGCGGCAAGCAAATAATGAATAACCCTAATAAATAAATAAATAATAAATGCGCGTACATGGTCGACGCGCGCGCTGATGAGACTGATGCACATCTTGATCGTGGGGAGGCTCATGGCACCTGCAGTTACCGCGCCGGCGCCCTCCCCTGCTCGTTCGTGTGCAATCGCACTCGAGTGTTAGCCGGCCAACTCTTCAAAATGGCGAAGAGAGAGAAGGAGGGTTGAGGAACGGACCAGAGGCGAGGGTGGTTCCCGGCTGTTGTGGGCCGCCAGCAGCGGAGACACCGGGAGCGCCGCCGGGCAGCAGCTTTTTGGCGGGGAGCGGGGAGGGTACCGCGCCCGCAGCAGCCTTACCGGCGGCCGGGAGGCCCGACGACGACGAGGAGACATTTGCTTGCTGCTGCTGCTGCTGCTGGAGGAGGAGCAGGGCCTGCTGCTGATCATCGCCTTGCGGGGACCCTCCACGGGTCGTCCCGGACAGGTGCTCCTTCGCGAGGCGCTGGAGCAGCTTCACCAGGAGGGAGAGGAAGCGGTCGGCATAGTCGGCCTGGTGGTTGGACAGCGTCTTGAGGATGATCACCATGCCCGACCTGCCACGCCATGCATGCATTAATGGGTTATTTATTATTATTATTATTATTATCCATTATTGCTCTTACTAAGGTATTGGTGGTGGGTTGCGGGGTGGTGGGTGGTGCTCAAACGACGGGGGAAGCGAGGTGAGGTGGCACACGACGATACGCACCACAGCGAGGCCTTGTAGTCGGAGCCGAGAGTGGTGGAGATGGTCTGCTCGATGTCGCTGTAGAAGGACGTGATCTCCGGATGGGGCTGGGGCTGGGGCTGGGGCTGGTGAAGCGGGAAGGTCTTGATCATCTTGCTGAGCAGGATGCAGAGCGAGGCGATGATCTTGGGATTGTCTGATGTCAGACAGCCCAGGAGCACGTGGTGAAGCTGCTGCATATTCGATTGCACGAATTGCGCGAGCTGGTAGTCGAGCACCACGTTCAAGATGCCCAACCCGGTCACAACCACCTGGCCCTGCTGCTCCTGCGCCTTCAGCAGCTTCTGTTGATTCGGAAAGAACAAAGAACGAAGAACGAAGTGGTGCCATCCACCAGCACGACGAGTGAGCTTAGCCCGATGCACCGTAAAGAGGCACAGGTTGTGCCTCTCCGCAGCCCATGGTACCCCACGGCGATGCT